TGCCTTTTCACCATTGACAGTGAATTCATGTTTAAAAGGCCTTTGACTTTCTGAATAAAAAGCACTGAAATATGAGATGCTCATATTTATAGGTAAAATTGAAAACAGATTTGGTCTCGGAGTCAGAAGACCTGGTTTAAGGCATGGATGAGTCATCTTGAAAAATCGCTCCCTACTTCAGATTAATAGAACAATGACCTCCCTTCCTACCTCACAGGATTGCTGTGAATTTTGACAGTGAACATGAAACATAATAGGTATACAAACATGTTTCCTTTCTCTTTATTTCCCTGTCAGGCCAAAACAAAAGTTACAATAGTTAACTTTTTGTAACTTTAGTTAATGCTAAGAACATCAATAGGAGCTACTATTGCTTTGTCTCTGAGTGGTTAACTTAATTCTAAAATACCAAAGTTTTAGTTCCACATGGGTTAATTAGTTTAACTCAGTTTTGTCACTACTGACTCCAACCACACCTTGGCCATACATGGCTATCAATAAAGGCTGTTTCAACCCAGACCTTTGTTACACTACTTTAAAAGGAGTTTAAAGGTTCAGGTTTTGATGATAATTGGTTCAATGACACTATACTGCCACTAAATTACTTTTGCTATTAATTATCTCTGTAAGTGTTAAAAGACTTATTCGACTTATAAGACCTTATCATTGACTTTCAGGAGCTCATGGTATATTAGACTTATATAAAAAGAAGCGCACAGTACATAGACTAGTTAGAACAAAGTTCTTTTAAAGCAGTTTGTCTGATTATTTGATTCTTTCTAGACGGGGTTCCCTGTGTCACATAGCAGTCTATATGGCATCTATCTGTTCATCAGGAGTCCTCTGGAGAAATCCATACAGACTCACACATCACAAGAAATTCAACCCCATTTATAATCATTTTTCCCATTATTGATTATGAGATGGCACTCTGCACTTTATATAGACTTTATACAAGTTATCGACATTTTTTTCACTGGCAGATCAAGTCAGGAAACATTTTCTGGCAATATAGCAGGGTGGAGGGGTGAGAGAAACTGCATGCATGTCAGGAGCTGCGAATGACCAGAGGGATAGGCCAAAAGTATAAAGATGTCATTTAGAGAAATCTTTCCAATATCTTTCTCTCTCTCTCTCTTTAATATTAAATCATAACAGGTGGTATTGAAGAAATCTAGCTCTTAGGGGGCTCTGATAACCATAATGATCTTATCCATTTGTTCAGTATTTAAAATTTATAAAATGCCTTTACATATATTTATGTAATTAGAGCTGCACAAGACTTGTGCAATAACTAGAGCGGTTATTGTTACTCTTCCCATTTTACAGGTGAGAAGACAGAGGCATGGGGGCGAGAGGTGGCTTGCTGAAGATAGTGTATGGCTAAACGACAGGGCCTATGTTCAGATTATGAGGGGCTGGGAGGGAAGGGTGTGTTGCAGGAGTAAGTCCAGGAAAACCTGAGCTTTTGTGAGCCCCAAATGTGATCTCTTGGGAAAAACGACTTTGCCCAGAGAATTTAACAATAGTAAAGCAAACAATGTTCCAGGAATAAACACTGGGTCTATTTTTAGTCCAGTGGTATGCACAAGGCTACAGTAAGTCTGAAGGAATGTGTTTTGTATGATGAAGAATAAACTGAACTTATTTGGTACTGTTTCCTTTTAGCAGCTCCCTCTCCCTAGAGTCCCTAGGACCATTTGTATGTATTAGGGCTCTGTTACCTTGCGCACCGGGAAGAAACAAATGGTAAAACCAAAGGGTAAACGGGAAATGTCTTCTCTTTGGGGTTAAAATTGGTGCCTTAAAGCTCTTGGAGAATATCAGCCCTTCCACCTTTCCTTGCAGTTGCCACATGTGCAGAAGTAGAACGCTTCCACAGCCACAGTAGCTGCTATAACCTAACAGATGTAGTTTTCACACTGAAGGGCGAAATCTGAGAGGTTGAAATGCAGCGAAAATTTTAAAAAATAAGTTATGAGACCTAGATTCTCGACCCATCTTTCCCGCTAATTGTGTATGCTTGAGTGATTAATTTATTCTCACTATTCCTCCACGTGTTTTGTTTTGTTTTGTTTTCCTACAAAATGAGGTGGAGGACCAGGGGTTGAGGGAGGGAGGACAGTGAACCAAGCAGTTGCTTGATTCGGTTTAAAATGTACCACTATAATTCTGTGATAGGTTGTTTTGTGGAAAAACTATGGGATGGAGACTGGTCCGTTTGTCTAAAATTTAAAGTAGCAACAATTTTCTGAGTTGCCTGTTTGCGATGAGCAGAGATACAGTCTTGATATCTCTTCATTCACTGTTCATACTCAATGAAACTGCCTGTGCCTTCTGAGGAAAAGAATATATGTCTGATATATTTCTGGTATGGTCTTCCCAGATTGTTAAAGATGAGTACAAACTGGTTATGGGAGCCCTAGTTTTATACTTAGTAAGTCTGGGAACAATAATGACTGGCTTGAAATTTGCCATGTATGTTAGTATAGAAATATACTACACTTCTTGAGAGACTGGGGATCAGCTGGCAAAGTCTATCTGAACAAAGAGGAGCATCAGGTAAAAGAGAAAGTCATTAAACAGAAGATGTGCCCAGGCACGGCATCCTGCCTCTTCAGTCTGCTGAGACGCTGTGACCTCTATTTGATCAACTAATCAATCAATACAATAGTGTGTTGCACACCATAAATACACCGGAGTTCTGAGGAAGAGGACATGATTATGGACAGGCATCATTAGAAAAGATTTCAGAGAAGAGGTGGAATTTAAGAAGGAACTTGAAGAATAGGAGAAAATGCATAGATGGAGAAAATGAGAATGCTTCCAAGGTGAAGGACGGCATGAGCCCAGATGTGAAGAACAGAATGTCTCTGTGAGCACTGGGGCAGAGCAGGTTAGCCAGCATCAAAAACTGAGTGGAGAGCAGTGGAAGGCATGTCTGGAAAGACAAATTAGGTTGAGACTGAGGATGGTTGAGGAAAGAAATTTGAACTTGAGATTATACAGTTCAGGAGGTTGCAACCTGGTGACCCATGAGTTGGAAGTGACCTGCTGGTCTTTTTTTTTGGTCCAGAGGATTTTTTTAAAACTGGATTTGAATGCAGTAGGCTGGGCATCTGTTATTCTGTTTATCACAGTTTCCATCACTTTTTTTTAAATTTTATTTTTTTAAGATTGGCACCTGAGCTAACAACTGTTGCCAATCTTCTTTTTTTTTCTTCTTCTTCTCCCCAAAGCCCCCTAGTACACAGCTGTATAACCTAGCTGTAGGTCCCCCTGCTTGTGCTATGTAGGGCACCGCCTCAGCACAGCTTGATGAGTGGTGCCATGTCAGCGCCCTGGATCCTAACCAGAGAAACCCTGGGCTGCCAAAGTGGAGCACACAAACTCAACCACTCTGCCACGGGGCTGGCCCCACCATCACTTTTTAAAAACTTTTTATTTTGAAATTATTTGAAAAGAGTTGCAGGGTCAATAAAGTACTCCTTCATATCCTTCATCTAGACACACATACAGAGACATCTATTTTTTTTATAAATCATTTGAGAGTACATTGCAAATATAATGGCCCTTTACTTCCTAATAATTCAATATATATTTCCTAAAAACAAGGACATCCTCCTACAAAACCATTATACATTGATCAAATTCAGAAAATTTAGCATCAATATAATAATATTTACTATACTGCCTATATTCAAATTTTATGTCCTCTATATCATTTTTTCCTCTACTTCAGGATCCAGTACCAGATCTCTCATTCATTTAGTTGTCTTGACTCTAATTCTTCAGATTTTTATGACCTTGACATTTTTAGGGAGTAAAGGTCAGTTTTTAGAATGTCCCTGACTTTGGATTTTTAAAATAGTTCTTCATGGTTAGATTCAGGCGATGCATCTTGGGCAGGAATACAACATGGGTGATGTTTTGTCTTTTTCAGTGCATCATATCAAGAGGCACATGATTGGTGACATTAACTTTGTCCCATTATTGGTGACATTAACTTTGATCACTTGATTAAAATGCTGTCTGTGAGGTTTTTCCATAGTAAATAACTATTTTTTCTCTTTGTAGTGAATAAGTGATATGTGGAGAGATGTTTTGAAATTCTATAAGGATCCTATTCCTCACTCAAGTTTTGCCAAATAGCTTTACCATCTATTGATAATTCACGAGCAGGCTATTTCTTTGCTTTAAAAATTCCCAATGGCAGCAGGATTCTTTGGAAATCTCTATGTGAATAATCCTACTACTTGAAAATAAATATTTAAATCAATCAATCAATATTTATTTCCAGTCTCTAAATCTTTTATTTATGTTTCTTGACCTACTGCTGGCTAGGACTCAAGTACAATGTTGAATAGAAGGAATAAAAGCAAATATCCTTGCCTTATTTTGGATCTTAGGGAGAAAGCATTCTGTCTGTTCACTGTAGGATTTTAATAGATGTTCTTTATCAGAGGAAATTTCTTTCTATTCCTACTTTTCAGAGTATTTCATAATCATAAATGGGCATTAAAATTTCAAAATTTTATGCCTCTACTGAGATGACCATATTTTCTCCTTTATTCTATTAAGATAGCAAATTAATGGTTGATTATTAGTAGACCAAACTTGCATTACTGGGATAAAACTCACTTGGCATTGATATGTTTTGCATTTTATATATTGCGTGATTCAATTTTCCAATATTATCTTAGGGATATTTACACCTATGTTCATGAGGAATATTGATCTAACACTTTCTTTCCTTGTAATAAATATACTTGGTTATTTACATCACAGTTTTGCCGACCTCAAAAAACTAGATATGAAATATTACTTCTTCCTTTATTTTAGGAAGTGTTTGTGCAGAATGGCTTTATTTCTTCCAAAAATATTATAGAATTCACTTATGAAGCCATCTGAGTCAGAGGTTTTCTTTGGGAGAAGATTTTTGATAACAAAGTCAATTTCTGCTTCAGTTATCTATTGCTGTGTAATAAAGTACACAAAAATTTAGAGGTTTAAAACAGTAACAATTTATTATTTCTCACATCTCTGTGAATTGGCTGGCTTGGTATGGGCTCACTGATAGGGTTGCGTTTACCAAGAGGGTTCGCTGAGCTGGGAGTCCCAAGATGGCCTCACTCCCAAGTCTGTCAGTTGGTGCTGGTTGATGGATTAGTCTTGCCTTCCATGTTTTCTTTCATCCTGGGAAGTCTCAGAAGAGTGTTGCAAAAGATTAAAGGTGGAAGCTGCAAGGTATCATAATGTCAGGCCTCAGAAGCTGCGCACCATCATTTCTGCCACATTTTATTGATCAAAGCAAGTCACAGGGCCATTCCAGATTCAGGAGAAGGGCAAGAGACTCTGTTTCTAAATGGGAAGAGTAAAGGGACATGCAGAATGTAATGAATTGCTGCAGCCAGCTTTGCAAACAATCTACTGCAGTCAATTCAGGACAGAACAATTCATATCCCTTCCACATGCAAAATATACTCACTCCTCTTTCAGACCCCCAAATTCTCATCCAATCAGAGCATCAGGCTTAAAGTCCATGATCTCCTAATATAAATCTGGTCCAGATATTGGTGAAGTATCTTGGATGTAGTTCTCTTAGCACAGAGAACTGTGACCTAAAATGACATTATCTCTGCCCAAACACACAAGACAAATGTTGAAAATGGGTAGGATATTTGCTATAGGAATTCCTATTCAAAGGCAAAGGACAAGAAACTCATAGAAACACTGGTGTGTAGCAGTTCTCACCTCCAACCATGCGCCTGTTGTTAATTCCATCTTCTACAGGTGTACAGAATGTTCCTTGATTAGGGCCCAGTACTAATCCCTGAGAGGAGTTCCCTAACCTATGGTTCTTCTTATCTCTTGGTCTTTCCCTCTGAGTGTTGATCTTGCCCTCTGAGATACCTTTCTTTATTCATAAGAAATGATGACTGTGTTTGCAGCTGAGTAAGTTTTTCAGTGTACTTTCAGCCTGTAGAAAGTTAGGGGTTCAGAGAGCTCTTGCATTTTGTGTTGTCTTTGACCCTTCTTAATTTAATCTGTGTAGCTCGAATCAGCTCGTTAAGCTGTTGATCAAATTGATGGACACAGCAGGTAGGTCTGCTGTCTCGGTGAACACAGCAGGGTGGTCACAGGTGAGCTTAAAAACTTTGTGGGCTTTCTATGTATCAGGTTATATCAGGACAACGCCTTTACGATTCTTAGAAGGTCTTTTGCCTAGTTAAGAGAGTCTAGCTAGTATCACCTTAAATACTTCAAAGGATTCAAACAAAGAGTTTTACAGTCTTGACCTTAATTTTATCTATAACCTGAGGCCATTTCTTACTTTGAGAATCTTATGCTAGTTTGAGACTAGACATGTGAAAAAGTTTCATTTTCCAATCTAATACATCCTGGGTCCTTCATATTTCCTTTAAATTCTGTTTGGAAACTGTTACTGCTTTAGATTGTCTCTCTTCTCACATCTTATGCAGCTTAAAACAAACAAACAAACAAAAAAATCAATTGATACTTTCAAGCTTCTACTTAGAAAACTTCTTACCCTTGCTTTGTTACAGTCAATTCTTCACACAAAAGACAGAACGATCCTCGTAAAAGTTCATGGCGGTGGTCCACCACTAACTCAAACGGTGTTTTGAGAGAGTTAAAAAAAGCTGTCTCTTCCTTAAGACATTTGCTGACATCTAATGGAGAATTATAACAAATATACCTATCTATGATGGCTACAAATGTGAATGGCAGTTCCTAAAGTTGTGCACTGCAAAATTTGCATAACTATACTACTGGCTTTGCGTTATTCCATGCTCAAAATCTTCTGATGGCTTCCCTTCACAGTTAGACAACAATAATATTAGAAGTCCTTACCTTCCTGTATGCAGAATATATAAATAGTTCCTACAAACTAATAATATAATGGGCAAAACACTTGAATAGACCCTCTAAAAAGAAGGATATAAAAATGGACAAGAAGCATGTGAAAAAGTATTCAACATCATCATATGTCAGAAAAATGCACATTAAAACTACAATGAGATCTATGAACCCACTAGAATGGCTAAAATGAAAAAAGACTGGGTTACATGGGTGAATGTATTTATCAAAATTTATCTAATTCTCTACATAAAATCTGTGTATTTCGCTGTATATAAATTTTGCCTCAATTAAAAAAGAATCTGCCTGGGTCCAACATGATCTTTCTCCTGACTGCCTCTCTGATCTCATCTCCTAGCTCACAGTGCCCCAAGCAACATGCCCTTCTTCTTCCTCAAACCCACCATATATACTCGCCCATTCTTTGCATCCGCTCTTTGCCTGAAACACTCTTCCCAAGATAGTTTCATGGCTTGCATCCTAGCTTTTTTCAGGTTTCTGCTCACCCGTCATCAGGTGAGAGATCTCTGACCACTCTCTCAGAAATTATATCTATTCCTCCACTTATCCTTGGATGCTATATGACTTTAACTTCTTTTTCTTCTATAATGTCTGAATTATGTGTTATTTGTTTATTTTCTTCTCAAACTAGATTGTATGTTTAATGATGGCAGGGATTTTTGTTGTTGTTCATCACTGTATCCTCAGTTCTTAAAACAATGTCTGGCATAGAATAGGCCCTCAGTAAATACTTGTTGAATGAATATCTCTAATGTACTTCGAAGTACATTATCTCCTGGTCTAAACATTGCCAGCAGACTCTCTCCCATTGCTTTAAAATCTTTTCCTTGACAAACTGAAATGGCAAGCAATAGGATATATTGGAGTATATGAGGAAGCCATTTGGTGTAAACCTAATTTGGCCTGACTTTGTTTTTTCCAAAAGGGCCTGACTGTGGCCATTGAGCAGGCATTGCATATCTGCTTTAAAACATTTCCTATGGCAAGAACAAATGGCCTTAAGATAAAGGTGCAACTTCCCCCGACACTGGCATTTCCTTAAGGATAAGCATCTTTCCTTAGGCTAGGAACTGACTGCTGCATTCACCTTTGACCACTCAGCTCACCTGTGACCACCCAGCTTGAGACAACAGACCTGCCACCCTGCTGTGTCCACCAACACATCAGACCTACCTGCTGTGTCCATCAATCGCTGTGCCGACAGAGCAGTCTCACGACTATTGTAAAAGGGACATTTCAATCATACGTGAAACATCTTGTTTGGGGGTATATAACCACTTTGTGCACCCCACTTCTTCAGTGCCCTTTCTTCCTTCAGGAAGAAAGGCCCTGGGCCATGATCCTCAGATTTTAGCTCAGAATAAACTCTCCCAAATTTTCATTTATAGATTGGTTATGGATTATTTTCATCGACACCTATAAGACTGCATCTTATCTCTCTCTACAAGTGCCTCCCTTACCTGCAGCACCTAGGAGGAAATTGTTTTCCTGTGATAAAGCTGTTCCTCTAACCCATGTTTCAGACTATAGTTTTGCTGGTTAACTGTGTCCTTCCAGGCAGGTATGGGTCACGCATATGCAACTCAAGACCCGTAGATCATGTCCACTCTCAGTATCTGAATTCCAATTCAGCTGTGTAGCTCGAATCAGCTCGTTAAGCTGTTGATCAAATTCACTTGTTAAATTAAAATGACTGAAATTATCAGGTTGACCAGGCTTTGGTATGGCCACTCAATTCTTATCTGTTCAGTTTAAGATAGAAAAGACGGACAGAAACAGACATTCACATATAAAAATAAGTTAAAATATTTGAAATAGAAAAGGACCCAATATTTTCACTGGAGATGGAGAATTGGCCAGTGGCTATAATTGATGGAGAACTTTGGTTGGCCTTCTAGGGGTATGATTAGTCATTATTAGGAAAATGAATGGCTGCATAAGTACAGTACTTGTATTAAGTATTTTATGCTCAAGATTAAACAAGAGGAATTGTCCATAGAGTATTTATCTCAAGCACCTCAGGCTACTTCTCATTTCATAACTGGCTCTGGGATCAAGGAAGTGGGACATCAAATTGAATCTCTTTGTTTTGACCTAAACACCTAAGTTAGTGGCTCCATAAAGACAGATAATGGATCAAACATGGCACATTGTTTAAATAAATCAGAAAAATATTTACATTTGTTCATTTCATGGCATAAGTACATTCTGTGCAGTGCTGAAACGAAGTAGTTATAGTAATGGATAACAGTAGTGAATATTTGATTCAACTTACCAACATTTTCTGAGCATGTGTTAAGCATTAGGCAAGACATTGTAGATACAAAATGAACCAGATGTTGTTCCCAAGCTTGACAGGAACACAGGTGGAAGAGAGCTGTGACGTAAGACAGATACGTACACAAATGAGTATTACACTTGAAGTCAAACTTTGAAATACACCATAATCAAATTTAGTGTACAATTAGAAAATGCAAAGGCAGATTCCGTCTTAAATGTTTTCAGGTGGGAATTTCAGGCAGAAGGGATATCATCATGCAAAAGGGTGTACAGACAGGAACTTGCATGTATATTGGTGGGATGCTGGTGTCCTACTTCAAGAAAAACTTAGAATTGGAAGAAAGATATAACGAGAAGTAAGTTTGGAAAATTAAGCAGAGGGAAAGTTGATGGAGGGCTGAGGAGTTTAGACTTTATCACATTTTCCACAGAGAACTCCAAAAGTTTTCTGAGGGCAGTAATGACATGGTCAAATCTGTATAATAAAAAGTTACCTCCATAAATGCGTGTTGGTTGGACTATGGGTAGGAGAGAATAAAGGCAGTGTCTATAATTAGCTGCAGATCACCTAGAATGGTGATAGATCTATTACGTGTTAGCAAATATTCTATACTCAAAAGAGCAGAGATACGTTTATATGGGTGTCTTTATACACAGGAGGAGGCATTTACACACACACACACACACACACACACGCACACACGTGCACGTGCACGCACACACACACACATACATTGGTTTGGCAGAGAATCAGCGAATCTGAGAGGTAGAATATTACAATGCTTAAGGATATGGGCTTTAGAATCAGATGAAAGAAAAGCCTGGCTCCTTCAATAGCTGTATAAATTTGCCTAAGGTATTTAAACTCTCTAATATAAAATTTAAAAATACTGACTTTACAGTTTTGTTAAGCAATAAATGTAATAACTTACATGAAGGATTGAATATAGTTCTGGCCTATTGTAAGAATAGCTGAGAGCTAACATTACCACTGTTGCCATTTTCACTGTTGTTGCCAGTTTGAGACCTATCCCAAGTCAATGAGTAATTTGGTAAAAGCATTTACCAGAAGCAGCGTGGGGTCTACAGAGTCAGGAAGATAAAGCCCGACTCTCCATGACAATAGTTTTGCCGACACAGAACACAGAATCCTCCAAAGACTGTTCCAAGTTTCATTCCCAGAAATTACTTCGATGAGTAAACACTTGCTGTCTCTCTTGCAGCTTCTCTATGTATCTACTAATTCATTAGGCTGCTCTTGCTCAGGAACGATCCTCAAAGCGCTGAACACACCAAAGTTTATCAAACAGATTGTTCCCAAGTTTATACCGTAACAGCTTCTATGACTCAGAGACAGCAGGCTACAGGGATTACAAGGGATTTTTTTACTTTTTTAAAACAAAATTTTAAAAACAACTTTAGCAGAAACAATAATATTTACAACAAATGAAAAACAAAATAAAGAACTCAGAAAAGATGATGTGGGGACTTTGTCGTCAGCTCTGGTTGTTGACTCACTGCATGCTTGGTTCCAAAGAGAGAGTAAACGAACCAACATATTCCCTGAAAACAGGGATCCATGAGAGCAAGACTGAAGACTGAAGAATCACACACTCAGCACAACACAGCATCATCCGAGGGTTTAATGAGTCAGAAAGCTTTCATTAGAACAGCCAATCTCTCACAAATCCAATGACATGGATATTGAAGAGAGCATTGTCCCGGGCTCCACTGTCACTGGAAAGGCCTGGTTCCATAATGGACATCTAGAGGTCTGCCTCCCAACTATCTCCCTCTTTACATGCCCCATAAAGGTACACAGATCTTGGATTCATTTCCTTCTCCCTGACTCCCATATTATCTAGGTAGACAGAGGTGAGGGGGTACTAGAGAGAGAGGACCTGAGAAATAAAGCCTTAGATTACATTATTGAATGTACTCTGCTGAATAAATTTCCTCAGAATAGCAACAGTGAAATATAGACTTTTATCCACTGATAAATCGTGAAATAAGTGAGAACTTTTGTAGCTTTAAAACTCTTCCAATTATTTTTCTTGGGAAATAGGCTGTGGCCTTGCTCCTTTCACCCGTCTCCACTTTTCGAGCCTCCTGCTCTTCAACAGTCCCTCACGCGTCGGGGAACTCCATTCAGCCATCTATCCACTGACTTCCAAGCATACCCAATATACTTGTTCAAGCACCCTTGCCCGGAATTCTCTTTTTCCTCATGATAACCTGTAGAAATAATTCTTTTGACGTTTCACCAAGTTCCCTTCTCCTCCAAGAAGCCTTCCCAGTTGCCTCTTTTGCCTTTTAAACATTGCTATAAGACTTTGCTTCTAACATATTAGCTTGACATCACTTTGCTTTCCTAAATATCTAATTCCCCAAGCATATTGTAAGACCCCAGGAATCAGAACCATGACTTTTATATTGCTGCATCTTCTGAAATGCCTGGCATAATGGTTATTGCATCAGAGTTGAGAATGCAAAAGCAAATCCTAGCTTTACTATGTACCACCTGTGTAAATTTAGGTATATTATTTTTTATTATTTTACCTCTGATTCCTCGTTCGTAAAAATGGATGTAATATCAATTTCAAAGCGTTGTTATGAGGATCAACTATGACAATATACGTAAAATACTTAAAATGACACTTGACCCATTGTGTGTGTTCAACAAATGGCAGCTTAAACAACTTCTGTGTTCTATACAGTTGAGGTGTAATAATTATCTTCTCCAGATAACTCACTCAGATTATGCCCTCGATTTGGCCTGCAATTAAAAGCAGAATAGCCATTTGAGAGAAAGCACACCTAAGCACTTAATGACAACTCTAATCTACAGGAAGAATAGCTCTTAATGTGACATATTGTTATCAAACCCACTTGTCTCTGTGAGCAATTTATGCTATGCGGCTAGTATTACCTGCTGATTCCTATGGAATTTATTGCGATGAAAAACGTTCCAAAAACTGGAAAGTCTTTCCAAGACACATTAAATAGTCATCTGAATAACTTAAAGAAAATTTTTAAGAGGAATGTGAGTTTTGTTTCAGTCAGGTGAATTAGTGAGCTTTCAGGGTTCTTCCCAGCCTTGCGATATTGGCACCATTCTTAGGTCATGTCTTCCTAACCATATTATCTGTGACCTGGGTGAACTTCTATTTTAGATCACTTTGGTATGTAATCAGTAACTATTAAGATTGACCATCGGGCAAACAAATCCAATTAAAGTGCATTTAACTCCACCAAAACATTTTCAAATTATCCATATACCCCTTTAGTTACAGAAATTATATTGCATATTGCAATTGCATTGACTAAAAGTTGATTATTTTATATATATATATATACATAAAAAGGATATATATCTTCTTTTCTGAAAAAATGGTCACTCCTTCCTGAGTGATCCCATTGTATATTACACAAAGTTCTTTTACAGCGCCATCAATAGTTTATTGCTCCTGGGGGGCAGGCAACAATTAGTATTTATTCATCTTTTAATCCTACTCTTAGAGCCCAGCACAATGCTGGCCTATGGTAGATGGTCAATGTCTGTTCTTTCAATCAATTAATACATTTTCTTAGTTGTTCCTACTCCATCACTTCCTTGCTCTACGACTTTGAGCAAATCATCAGTCTCTCTGGGCTGCACTTCTGTTTCTTCCATGCAAAAGGAAGGATTTGAATCTCTGAAATTCTATAATTTTATGAAAATAATGAAACAGCATGAAAAGAGACATTAGATACAATGGGTTTGTCCTTAGGGGCACTCCTAGATATGTGTACAGGACAATGCTGGTGCTCAGCTTTCCAGATCTCACTTTCTTCTTGCCCAGATTATCTCCCTCAGTACAGAGAGTGACAGTGTTAGTAAGAGCAGAGATAAAACCACCTTCTTTATTAGATCTGGGTGAGGGCAACAGGCCCCCGAAACATGCAGAAAGTCAGATCTGCCTTGGCTTTAATATGGTTAGAGAGCGTTACTGGACCTCACCCTCTATTTTTTTAATGGACTGATTACCAGGCCCAAGGATCAAAGACAACATCCTGTTGTTTATCTTTACTCTTTTACTTTAATGACTTCTGACACTCCATCAGGGTGTCTTGGAGATCCAGATGGAGTTTTGATTGCCATAAAAGATGAAATGATAGAAAACTCATCAGGCTCTATAATGTCCTACACTATGAATCTAACGGGGGATGGAGAATCGCATTACCCTGGTTTAAAATGAACTCTCCCTAATGCTTATTTTTTCAGATAAGGAACCTAAGACTTAGACAGACAAACTGATTTCCTTGTCCTGGGGACTGGTCAAGCAGAAAAGCAGAGTTTCCTCAAAATATCAGGAATGAGCGTTTCCTCGGAAAAACACTGCTTGGTGAACATGAACCTTTGAATTCCATCCCCAGTGGTGCTCCTCGTGCAATCTCAGGTACTAATAACCCTTCCTTTCCTTAGAATCCTAACAGGTATAGAGGGATAAAAGGTAGAAAGAATCAGCTTTACTAATGGCTGTTCAGTAAAACACGAAATACAGAGCTTCTTGGTAAAGCTAGATTTGAGATTGCAGCCAGGATCTTGGGCCAACCTGGGACCATCTTAACACTTTGCCCTAAATGTGGACATCAGCATCAGTGGGAAGAGTAGGGTCCAATTTATTCGTTCACATGACAAAGAAGAAGCTGGAAAATGGTCCACCTTCACCAAATGGAGGAACATTTGCCTCGGTTCGTCTGCTTCATGCTGGATGCGAGATGTGAGAAAGCCCTGTGCCCTCCTATAAGACAAGGAGCAGAAAGTACAAAAGGGAAGGAGAATAAGAAAAGCACTCATAATGCCATTCAATTTAATAAACACATTGCCAAGTGAAGTTACCCCACAGGGCATGAAGCTCTCAACTTTCAAATCCTCCACTCCTGTTCCCTGAGTTGGAACAAACATGGGTGGAAAGAGACAGGAAGTGTCCACTCCAATACTCTGCTTTAAGGGGAGTAGAGTAAAAATGTCTCTCCCATGATATTGTAAAGAAGGAAGAATCAGCTCCTCCTTCTATAAGCTTTTAGTTTAGGTTTTCATTTCTCACCTGCACTATGGCAACAGGCCTCTTAATTAGTATGTTCATCATCATTCTTCTCATTTGTGTTTTTCACAACGTCAAGGAAGATTTTCCTTTTAGAAGATTAAATCATGCTACCAACATTCTACCAAACCTTCAATATTTCCTTGAAAAAGTCACTAGTTCTTTCTGTGCCTCAGTTTCCTCTTTTATAAAATGGGGAATGATGGTAATTGCTGTGTAAGGTTTTTAAGGAGGTTAAATGAATTTATATCATAAAGCACTAATAGGTGCTAGCTATTATTCTCCTCATTAGATTTATCTTCTTCTGCCTTGGCTCAGCTACTCCTGGTTCAGTACATGGCATTCCTGTCAGTTGGTACTATACTGCCACAGTTCCTAGAGTAATATGGGTTTGAGGCTGGAAGTACTTAGCCCATTCATTTACTTTAACACCACCTAATAGATCTTGTTGACCCAGGACACAAGGGCCCAGAGATGACCATTGGGTTTTCCAGTTGAGCCCTGTCTTTCTGCAAATGTGGCTTAGGCTACAGTGCTGCAGAGCGAACTCCTGATCATCTAAAACTGAGGTGCTAGAGAGAGAGCGTGACTAGAGACACAAGTTGCAGCTTTAACCTTTTAGAAACAATCACAGCAGCCATGAAATTATCATAAATGAGTGCAAAGAAAAAAAGAAAGCCAAAGACAAATATGTAAAGAATATATTACGGGCAGTGGCCTTTAACCACCTATATGTCTTGAACCAATCATGAATATTGTCTTACGTGTTCCCACAGTAAACTGAAGAGGCAGTGAAAGTGAGGTAGTGGTATAGCATTATAATTGAGTCATTGCAGCTTCGAGATTAAAAGACTTGTCCAAGGTCACACAGCTAGTTAGCTGCATAGCTACAAATAGAACCCAGGTTCCCTACACCTTTGCTAAAGAAAACCTGTTGAAGTGAGCTGTGATGGGACTAGAGAAAGCCTTACTGTGGCTGATGCAAGGGTGAAATTTCAAGCTTTGGTCTTTGGGAAGGCAATGCCTTTTTCTGCTCATCTCACCTCACGACTTTTAAGCTCTTGGCAGAGAGACCCTGAAAAAATAGAAAATATTATTAGTGTTAGAAAAGTGCCAATTCCAGCTAAGCTCTGTTGAGCCAGTAATTCAATGTCAGAGGATCGGTAGAAAGGGTAAGAATAAATAGCTTCTAAGGTTCTCTGAGCATTTGAATTTATGATCTATAAAACTCCATCCATAAAAGGGAAAAAAATTTGGCCATGTAAAAATTACAGACAAGTTCTGCCCAGGACTTAGTCATTAGCAAAGGAGTTTCTCATAAATGTAAAGTTAAGGGTATTTCTGGGTTTTTAACAGACCTAAATGTTTTAGGTATTATGGAGCCTTACTAAGTGGAAGTGACCATGTAAAAAAACTAGATTGTTACTATCCCTCACCTTATGAAGCTTAGAATCTAGAGGAAGGGAAATGTAAGTCTGGAAGTCGTCTAGTAATACAATTTAGATTTTTCTTCCCTGAGTTACCTTTATGGAAGACAATAAAATGTATACCAGATGAACTTAATCTTCTATCATGCCTATCAAACACCTTAGCTAATGTGTTCCTTGAATTAACAAAATCTTTCTCTGTGAGGTATGTGGGTTTCTCAGTGGAGCTGGAGTACGTAAAGAGATCCCAGAGCAAGCAATAGAAAATTTGCTTTGTCTTCAAGGAGTTTGCAATCATATCAAAAAAGGTTTGAGCTGGGTTTTTTTTTTCCTTTTTAAAGTAATAAAATTTCAATGGGGAAAATATGAAAAGAAAAACCATCATCCCAAATCCCACCACTCTTACACTCTCTGGCCAAATCTTAGTTTCTTTTGCTTATCCCTCCTTCTCTTGTGGATTCTTAAATATATCCGACCCAGGGCTGGCACTTGGACTTTTCGTCTTTTCTGTCTTCACTTTCTCCAAAGTGCATCTAATCTCCTGGCTTTAAGTGCCATCTGTATGGTGATGGCTCCCAAATTTATAACTCCAGCCTGGATAACTAGCTACCCCTTCAGTGTGACTCATCGCCCTCCTCAGCCTCCAGCAACCACTAATATGTTCTCCAACTCCATAATTGGTCATTTTGAGAATTTTTTGTAAATGGAACCATACACAATATAATCTTTTGAGATTAGCTTTTTTTCATTCAGCATAATTCCCTTGAGATCCGTCCAAGTTGCCGCATGTATCAATTGTCGTTTCCATGCTATGTATATAGCACTATTTATTTAAACATTCACCCATAGAAAGGTATTTGAATTGTTTTCCATTTTTGGCTGTTACAAATAAAGTTTCTATGAACATTCACATATACGTTTTTGTGTGGACATATATTTCCACTTCTCTGGGATAAATGACCAGAAATGTGATTGTTGGGCTGTATGTTAAGTTTCCTAGGAAACTGCCTAATTATTTTCCAGAGTAGCTATACCATTTGACATTCCCATCAGCAATATGTGAGAGACCTAGTTTCTTCCAGTATTTTTCAATTGATTTAACCAAGGTTACTTTTTTGGCCCATATTTAGCATCTTACATCTGTAAGATGAGTTTTCTACAAAACATTGAGTTTTCTACAAAACACAGACTTAGAAATGTCATTCCAGCCATTTCCTTTCTTCCACTCCCAACAGCCAAGTGTGCCTGTCTGATGCACCCAAATCCCTCAGGGTCCTACTTTCTACCAGGGGTCAGGAGCTAATCTGAAAACCAAATTTATAGCAGGAAGTGCTATGAGAATGCACCATGCTCCCCAGTAACATACTGGTATTTTGTCCGGGGATTTCTGGAGACAAACTTAAATAAGAAGAGATTTGAAAGGTGGGAATTTTAGTCTCCAAGGAAGCTAATTGGAAAAAGACTTTCTCTTGCTAAAAGAGAAGCACTAGACATGGACTCTAATTCTAGGTTTGCCACTAATTGTGTGAGTTTGGATAAGCCGCTCCATTCTGTGCCTGAGTTTCCTCACCCGTAAAAATGAAAGAGGCAGAGCAAATTTAATGTTCTATAATTCTAAACCACACCAATGCACCATCTGATTGAAAAATGTGAATCTCATCTATGATGAAATTCTTGCATGACTCTGATTGGAAGCGCTCAAAGATAGGGATAATTTGAGCATTGAGCGTATTTAAATGACGCCTAAGAGCCCTCTGGGGTGAGCCAATTTTCTGAGCACCTTTCTAATAAAGACATAAGGTGTTTTCACTGCTTCTTCCGAGAGCACAGTGTTGAAGAAATCCTCCACTTCTACAGGTTTCCTGTATCAGGATACTCTAAAATCTACACTCTGATTCTCTGATTGTTTTATTTCTAATCTAAATCAACATTGAAAATCAGTGATCAGGAATAAATCAGGACAGAATGAGACCACCTTTTCTAAGGTTAAATGGAGCTTGGGGGTAGGGAGGGAGCAGGAATGAGAGAGGAGGAGGAGGAAGCTGGTGAATAGGCCTGAGATGATTAATTAGCCAGTAGGCAGATACACATCCATCCAATAAGAACAGTATCATTAAGATTGGTTTATAACTAATTGCAAAAGCATCCTTGCTTAAAAGGAACTTCACACAAAAAAGTACATCACCTAAGCAATTTGGAAATCTGTTTCAAAAGATGTTTTTCTCCCAACCTGTCATCCCAAGACAAAGGAGCAAAGAATACTGTGTATACATGGAGGAAAGAGAAGGATGAAAGTAATATTCAGCCTAAGAATGCTGACATTCTGGTGCTGGAGGAGAGACAGGCAGAAATGTAGGTCCAAGAAATAGGTAAGTAGAAGTCTAAGAAAACAAATAGTGAGGAGTGATAAGGAAGAGCATTGTCAGAAAATCATGTTGACATTCAGAAAACTACTTGGTTAATTGGATCAATAAAAGTTTTACAATCTTGGATTTGAAAGGATTTGAAAGGTCATATTGCCAGCCACCTTCCTCTTTTTCCTTTGCTCAAATTTCTTTTTCAAGGCAATCGTTTATTTATTCTCCCATTTACTCAGCACATACTTTTTTGAGGTCTTACTATGGACCAAGTACTGCCATAGATCCTAACACCAAAGTGATTAAGACAGTGCTTTTCATCAAGGAGTTGTCACTCTGGTCCGGTCTAGTCTAGGATGGACATCCAAAGAAATATTTACAAAATAACGAGATGTGTTTTTTTTGAGATACGTACTGGGGGCTATTGAAAACAAAAAGGAAGAACACTTATTTTTGCCTGGGTGAGTGGGAAACCCACAGGAAGGGGATTTATGGTCTGGGTGGGTAAGACTAGAAAAGGCTTCTTAGTTAGAGGATTATTTAAATCCAGCATTCCCCTTGAGAGTCTAACAGCACCAGTTTTGTTGTCTGAGGCACAGAGCTGGGGTGGGGGTTAGGGTGTGTGGATCCTCAAGCTCTTAGACTGTCATCAAATGGCAAAACGTCCCCCTCTTTCTTTTTGTGTTCTTACTTTCCACACATTCAAAATTACTGTTGTTTTATGTTCTGTTTCATGTCTATTTTGCTTTTTAGCCAGGGGATTTACTTGATAGCAGCACCATAGAATTTCAGCGCTAGCAAGTATCTCACAGAATGTAACTGGAAGTGACATTTCCACTGAGGAAACTGAGGCCCAGAAAAAGATGGCAACACACACACTGGAATATTCTAACACGGTTGGGACTAAACTTCTAATTGAGTTTTCTTTCCATTACCCCTCTCTCCCCACCTCACTCCCTTTTTTTTCTTTTTCAGGCTCTGCTTATAACCTCCCAAGGGTGCTACATAATACTTGTACATTCAGGCTATTTTCATTCTCGCATAATTTTCCCATGAAGATTTTGTTGTTTCCTCTTTCAGACGTGACCCGAGGACCCCGGGCTGGCCTCTTTAACTGATCCCTATGGCACCTTAAAAGTCAGTCCTCCCCAGGGAGACACATGGCTCAGGATTGCTTGTCCCAGTTACTGCATTCCCACCAGCCCTGGCCCTCTCAGCAGAGTGAAAATGCAAATGACTTGCAATCCATGTTGAGGAAAATGTTTAACGCATGCAGCTAGTTTGGCTTCCTTCAATGCCATTTACAAACTTTGCGGTTTGAATCTTTTCATTGAAGAATTAATTGATGGTTTTGAATGTTATTGGAGAAGAAACCCAACTAGTTTCTCAGGATATCCTTCTGGGAAATTTTCAGCTTCCGGAAGATTGTACTTCAGACGGTGTCAAAAAAATATAAATTCATGCCCTTGAAAGAATTCAGCTGTGGGTGGGCGGGAGATGGATATAAATTCCAAGTAAACAGAGATGGCTTAATAATGGAAAAGCGGGGCTGGCCCGGTGGCGCAGCGGGTAGGTTCACACGTTCCACATCTCAGCGGCCTGGGGTTCACCGGTTCGGATCCCAGGTGTGGACATGGCACCGCTTGGCACGCCATGCTGTGGTAGGCGTCTCACATATAAAGTAGAGGAAGATGGGCACGGATGTTAGCTCAGGGCCAGGCTTCCTCAGCAAAAAGAGGAGGACGGGCAGTAGTTAGCTCAGGGCTAATCTTCCTCGAAAAAAAAAAAAAAAAATAATGGAAAAGCCCTTTCCCCTTCTGTATCCTTGTCTTTCTCCAGTGACTTATTCAGAATTCTAAAGCCACAGCTGGTATTACACAGAGGCAGGAAAGTGTGGCTACGTTTACATGTGATCTGGGAAAGCCAAAAGTCCTCATCTGCTAAAAGTTTCTCTCTCCGTTGAACTTCCATCTGGTTTGGCCTGGTAAGTGTCTCTTTCAGATGTACATACCCTGAATTATGTAACCAGAACTCACAGGAGGAGAATACTAAAATGTACATTTGAGTACAGGTAAAATCACTAGCACAATGCTAGGCACAGAGCCAAGGTGTTTTGTGTATTTGATGATGATGCTTTATTCATTCATTTGCTGAATTAAATATCTGAACTCCCAGTTTACATCCAGCACTGCAGTTAAAAGATAAAGTAAGACACGGTCTCAGCCTTAAAGAGCTCACAGCCCCAGCGGAGGGAGAGCTTTAAAAACAGATGGTTTCAATACAGTGCAGCG